TGGTTTCACAGAGGTGAAACTCAGACGGCATCTTCTTACTGGTGAAGAAGTTGCAACAAAAATCATGGACCAAGTTGCTTTAGGGGTAAGCCGAAAGATCTTTATATATGATAACACCTTCTGTTGGAGTTGTGGAGTTCACAAGAACACAGGGAGGTGGTATATAGAAATGCAGCCTACTAGTGCCATTGCCTTGTGAAGGATGCTGTAGGATAGGAAAAAGATGAGCAGAACACCACAAATCTTGTTCCTTGTTGTTCAGAGGGCAATACTCTCTGGCTGTAAAATGGAGGAAGTTCAACATTATTGCAGCAACTTTAACAAAGTGCTAATGAAAATACTGGATATTTTACCTTTCAGCTTTCGCTGATCTGTGTTTTAGAATTCCTGTGGGAGTAACGTCAGCCTTTGCTGAGTTGATGCTGAATTGTGTACTGTCACATACAGGCTTTGACATCTTATGTTACACAGTAGTCAGATGCGGTACCTGGTGTGCCAAATTAATCAGCAATTTCATAGCTTGCTTTTATGGTCTCTTAAGGATGACTTGCCTCGTGTTGGAACAGCAATTGGTGCCATGAAGAACTGAAGTCATCAAGATGTTTGCCAATTGCATCATGTAACAGAGACATCAAAGAAAATATTCATGGTCTTGGAGGTAAGAAATAGTGTTTGTGCCACGCTTAAGGCTACTGTTTGTATCTTTAGCAGTAGGCAATAATATAGAAATAAAACTGAAATGAAATGGTTCTTAAATATCTCAATGGTGAATGGGTTCAAGATTGATTGGTTTTAAAATTAAGAACACAATGTTCTGTATTCTGTCTTTCTGTAAAAGACACTAATCAGCATTCACAGTAAGGGAACTGGTTTTAATTCCTAACTCACACTCAGTTTTTAAAGTAGCATCAGCAAGGTCTGCAGGACACCAGAGCCCCCACGTTGTTGCCATCTCCTGAGTGATTTATGCCACCCATGACATTGAGTGCAGTGCCTCAGTTACCAGATTGGAGGCAAGGGTCAGACTGTGTAGCTTGTGTGGTGTGCCACAGTGCTGGCCCATGGCATAACTGGAGCACTCTGTACTGCTCTGACTGAGCACGGGGAATGGTGTCCTGTGCTTGCTGTGCTCTCACTGCTGCTTATTTTTCTCTGATGCATTCTAAACACGTTGTCAGATAACTTTACCTTTCTCGTTAAAGCATTGTCCTGGAGGGAAGCTGTTTGATTATATTGTTTCTAAGGACCACCTTTCAGAAGAGGAAGCTCGAGTCTTTTTTCAACAGACTGTTTCAGCAGTCGCTTATGTTCCCAGTCAGGGTCGTGCCCACAGAGACCTCAAACCAGTAAGTTTGAACTGTATTCAGTCTTTCATAAATAATAATGAACGTGTTTTTATTTTTCCATTGGGAGAGAAAGTTGTTCCTTTGTGGTTGTGGTTTATTTAACCTGGCAGGTGCCTGAGCATCACACAGTGCTTCACTCAATCCACTGCTTTCCAGTGAATTGCAGGAGATAATGGAAGGGGGGAGAAAACAACACAAAGTAGAACTCATGGGTTGAGATAAAATTATCTACTGAGATAGAGGAAAGGAAAAGGATAACAGTTATGATGAATGCAAAAGCAATTGCTCACCACCTACCAATCAATGTCCAATTAGGCTCCTAGGAGTAGAAGAGATTTACATGAACTTCTACCTTCAGAACCCTTCCACACCATGTCATATGGTATGGGATATCCCTTTGGCCAGTTTAAGTCAGCTATCCTAATTCTGTTCCCTCTCACTTCCTTGGGCTCTCAGCTGAGAATGACTTTGGCTCTGTGCAACACTGCCTAGCAGTAACTACAGATGTCAGTGTGCAATCTAGAGCAAAACTGGAGTATCATATCAGACACTGAAGAAAACAATTCCATCCAAGCTGAAACTCAGACACCCTTCTTTATCTTGTGCTTAGAACTCTTCCATTACAGAAAATGTTAGATAATTATTACCATTTGATACTATGTTCTGCAGCTGAGCTGGATTTTGTTATCTTGAAGAAGTACCTTCCTCTGAAAGGGGAGTAAAACATCAAGGCCCTAATGGGAGTGGAGCAGAGACACAGATCTGGTATGAATGTTGTTTTCACACCTTCCTTACGCCCTTTGTTGCAGTTTGTATCTAGAGAGAGCCCTTGTGGTGTCAGTCTGTTATGTAGACTGCTCCAGTTTTGTGCCTCAAGGAAGAGTGATCCTTCAAACAAACAGTGGCTGTGCAGAGTATGGGATGAGATGCATGCCTCTGGCTCCATCCAGTGGGTTTTCTGTCACTGAAGGCTTTAAGCACGGGTTAGATACTGGAAGGTTTGAGTCTTTCTACACAAGTAGGTTAGAACTTTGCATTTCTTAAGTTGCTGATATCGCTGAGTAAAGCAAATCATTACAGCACAAGCATTTTCCTAGGCATCTCATGAAATCCTCGTATCTAAAGAATCTTTCCGCTCTGAAAAATAAAGCATTGCCTGTACTTTTTGGAAGGAACTGGCTTCCAGCTGAAAAGCTGATGGATTCACAGGCTCAGACAGTAACTTGGAATGGAGGTGACTTCTAGAGATTTGTGCCTGAACCTGCTGCTGCGAGAATCCTGACACCAAGTTTCTCAGAGCTTTTTCGTTTTCATGCTCAACCTCTCCCAAGGATGAGGCTGCATGCTCTCTGTGGGCAATCTGTTCAATGCTTGAGCAGTTTTGTTTCCTTCTATCCAGTCTGCTGTTTCAATGAACGACTGTTTTCTGTCACTGTCCCACCATGACCTGCTGTACTGATTCTCAGTCTGTCTTCATCCCTCCCTTGTGGGCGTTTAGAAGTTGCCATGAGGTTCGTCTGCACTCTGAACAAACCTCTTTCTCCCCAGTTTCTCTTCACAGAGTGGGAGCTTCAGCTCCCTGCACTGACTGGAGGCCATCCACAAAACTTGCTTCGGGTTGTTATCTTTCCTAGCCAAAAACTAAATACAGTATTGTAAATGTGGTCCAATGAGTGTGAAGCAGGGGTGACTTGTCCTGGTCTGGTTGTGCTGCTTTTTAATGCAGCTAATTGTCCTGCTGTGCTTTTTTTTCCTGTCAGCACACACTGCTGGCTTGCATTCATCTTGTGGTCTTTCACCACTTGTCCTCCTAGTCCCCGGGCCTTTTCTAACAGATACAAACCAGTATTTCCCACCTGGGATACGGGAACTTGTTAGCAGTCACTGAAAATCTCTAAGAGAAAGAGAGAGGGCTTTTAGTAGACTGCTAACCACTGACCACAACAAGAAATAACAGAAGAGGAAATATGTTTCCCTGAGTGTTCAGGAGAAAATAATTCCTGACTGCTTTTTCATTCACCAGGAAGATCTGTTGATTGTTGAGAAACATGTTCCTCATAATTTGAAGCTGACAGACTTTGGACTCTGTGCAAAGCCAAAGGTAAGAGTATCTGAAATCAAATGTAATGTGCCCCCAAGTAATGCATGTTTTTCTACAGTATGCAACAGGGACTTGCCCAAACACCCTAAATTCAAGCTGTCTCTGTGGTTGACATGCAGTTGCATCTTGCTTGGAAGGGCCTTAGCTGTGTGAGAGTGAACAGATTGCTCAGAAGCACACTCAGATTCTTTTCTCTACCCAGACTTCCTATTTTCATAGTGTAAGCTGTAGATAATCTTGTACGTGTATCACCTGTCTTATGCAAGGGCCTGTCATAGGAGCACTGGGCTGGCATGCCATTATCTCTTCAAAGGAACTGTGTGTAGATTGAGATCATGGATAAAACCAAATGAGTTTTGCAGGTGACAAACAGATCCTGTGGTTGTTTATGCTTGAACTGAATTGTTTCTTGATCTTAAAACTGCTTTCTAGGAGCCTTTACTTAACATGCCAGATGGGTGCTGGTAAGAAAGAATTCAATGGGAAGAGTGCCTTCCTGATTCAAAGAGAATTACTTATCCTCAAATCGCTTTTCCTGGCCAAATTTAGAGCCTCTCGCAAGTAACCAAGACCAACAGGCTGTTGTCCCAGTGGTATAATGTCATCTTGCTCTGACCTGTTTACAACAAAACCCAAGTAGAGTAATAGGATACTCTGAATAAGGAAGTATTCTATCAGTTGTTCTTTGTCAAGTTTGTAAAGTGATTGCATTAAATTGTTCTAAATGACCAGTGAGCCTCAAACACAACAGCTCTTGCATGACTTCTTTCTCAGTTTGGTGTTTGCACAGGCAGTTCATCTTAGTAGATGATCAGCTAAGGAAAATAATGCATCATGCCAAGGATACATCAGATAAGTGAGCAGCTTGGGATCTGCATAGTTGTACAATGCTCATGGTCTTAGACAATATTTGCTTAGTGAGGTCACTATTGAATGAAAACCAAATATATAATGAATGAAAGTATGCCCAGGGGAAGAAGCCTCTGAGGCTTCTGAAGTGTCCTTACAGAAAGCATGAACTCTGTTAAAGCAAACTCTTCTGTTTTCTGTGTTATTCCAGGGAGGCCTTGATGACCACCTGAACACATGCTGTGGAAGCCCAGCATGTGCAGCACCAGAGCTAATCCAGGGCAAAGCCTATATTGGCTCAGAGGTATGCAGACCAGAGTTGGTTTGTTTTGCACCTCTCCCCTCTTTCCCTCCCCAGAGAGCGTTTAAAGGCAGTGCAGCTCAGATACACTCACTTGGTTTCCCTCCTGAATTCTGCTGGGTTGCGTTGCTCAGTGGCTCTCAGAAGCTGTCAATGGCCACAGACTGAAAAGTGCAATGGGCCGCAGTTCACACAGCTGGCTGGTTTGTCTCTGGCTGATCCTCATCTGTCTCCACCAATTGTTTCCTACTTTGGGGCTCTATAAAACAGCAACTTCAGAGATCTCCTTCTATTAGTAAGTTTTTGAAAGAGCGATTTGCTCTGCTAATTGTCCATCATTGGTCAAACTTTTGTGCGGTCTCAGGATCTTACATGTTTTGTTAGACTTGTCTTTAGCTTCCAAGTTGTGTGTGAAGACTTGCTTCCACTGTAATGCACAATGTACTAAAAATTGAGAGATGAAAACGTGAAGAGTTTTTCCAGCTTTGATTTCATGTCTAGAATTTTGGAACCCACTACTTGCAGTTGTTCATCTGTCCCAACTGGTCTGGTTTGAAATGCCCTCATGCTTGTTGAATTGCTCTGCTGTTAAAGTTGGAGCAATTCTTTCGGGTACCATTGCACCGCTGTTGATGGCTTCTAATTCTTGCTTTCTTTGTTTTCCCCAGACTGCTTTTCAAGCCTCCTTTTCTTTACAGTCAAAGTGAGAATTGCACTGTGAGGTGTAGAGCCTTGTTGTGCCTGTACATAAAGAGAACAGCAGCAGAGCCTCACAGCTGACTGCTGACAGCTCTCGTTGTAGCCAGTAGCACGTAACTGTGCCAAATCCTTTGTGATGGGTTTGATTTCATTTTTGCCAGTGAAATCCTTGTAGGTATAAGGTACTGCAGAAGGGTGATGAGCTAAGATGAAGATACTGGTTTTAGTAGTGCTTTAAGTTGAGCGGAAGAGCAGTTGAATTAGGGTCATATGCTTTCTCTGGAGCCATAAGGCTTTTTTCCTGAGGGAAAGAGCCAGCTTTTCATAGGCTGCATGTGGCCTTTGCCAAGGGCAGACAATACAATCTGTCAGTAAGGCATTTTAGGTGCTTCAGGTTTGTAAACTTGTCCTTTTATTTTTTAGGCAGATTTTTGGAGCATGGGTGCACTGCGGTACGCTGTGCTGTGTGGGTTTCTTCCTTTTGATGATGGCAGTGTGATGGCACTCTACAGGAGGACAACAGGAGGTATCGATGGTGCTAGAATACACTGAGAAGGGAAATAGCTGAGCATGACAAGAGGCCTTGCTTTTCTGATGGCAGAACATGCTGAGCTGTGCTGTGTGTGGAAAGGCCTGTCTGCTGAATATTGTCCCCTTTTTTGCTGCTTTGTCTACCAGTATTTTGTGGATCTGGTTCTACGCTTGTGTTGGCCTATGTGGCGCTGTAGCCTGATTATATAATATGATAGCATGCAGAGTTTGAGGAGAAGTATTTCCTTGCCAATGGGCTAATTTCTGTGTCTGGTTCTTCAACTGGCTGCTCCCTGTACTACCTGTAGTAAAAATGTAAATGCATTGTTTGATTTACCAGAAATGAATGTTATTGAATGCCAGCTCTTCTCATGTTTAGGAAGAGCAAAGTTCTGCATCTATTCAGATAATTAGAATTTTATATTATTCAGATATTCAGAATTTCCTCTTCCAGAACCAGGAGGAAATGTAGGACCCCACTGATTGCCTTTGAATTCAGCAGTTTGTTCTGTTTCCTTTCAGAGCACACAACAAGCTGAGCGTGTGAATCAAGTGACACGGCTTTTCAGGCTGGTGTGAACTGTGCTGTGCACTGAGCCTTTGTCCCTTTGTAATCAGGACGTTGTCCATTTCTGCAGGACTGCAGAAAATCCTTTGTGCTAATCACTACTCCAATTTGCAGAACGTGGCAAATGGAAAATGATCCAACTGCTTCAGGTGTACATTTCCTTAAAATTGTGGATAGTTTTGGACTGAGAGCTTGTAAGCAGAATGGAGCTCTTAAAGCTGTCCAAGATTGTTTCTGCACCATTTACTTCTATCTGTCTGATGCACACAGGAGCTGAGGGCTGCAGTGCTTGAACTGGTGGAACTTGTTTAAGTGAACTGGGATGAGCAAGTTTCAGAACTGAGTCAGAATGCAGTAAAAAATGGATACTCTCACAAGTATTAAGGTACTGGCTTGCTATTTCTGCACTGAATTTGTTTTAATTGTATGTGGCTGTGATCTGAAAAGTGCTTGAAATGCAGACACCGAGGCATTGTTGTGTAATTGACTGTCACACGTTACAGATCCTGAGATATCCTGGAATCTAAAACTCAGAATTGGTTTAAGTCTACTGCTTGAATCCAGTCAGGATCATTGTGTTCAGTGTTCTTTTCCCTGTAATGCTCCACATCACTTCATTTGGGAAATACTTGAGGAAATTGACTATGTGCCATAACTGTTGTTAGAACAAAGTATTTCTGGTGTGCTGTTGGGCATTTTGTAGCTCTTGTCAGCAGTTTCCCTTCCAGCATTGCCCTCAGCCAAGCACGTGTGAATTTTTACCATTAAATTTATTCAAGCTGTTCTTAAAGCAGAGTTTGTAATCTCTGTTCCTACGCTTTGAAAGAAAAGAGATGTCAATATCATCCAAATAATTTAGTAGTTCCTTTTGAGCTAGTTGTTGAAGGTTCATTCTCAATCCTCTCTTATTTTAGTGAAGAAAATAACTTTTTTATTGCAGAGAGGAAAAGACACTGTTCCAAAATGGCTTTCCCCTAGCAGCACGCTGCTACTTGACCAACTGCTGCAGGTAAAAGAGCTGCTTCTATTCAGAGTGATGTACAAAATGCTGTTGCATCAGCTCAAAACATTGATGGAGCGCTTAGAAAATATGCAGTGTTTAAACAAGTTAAACTGCTGCATGCCTGATGTCCTTGAAGAAAAGGTTAGCATTGCCTTGTGCTGAAAATTCTCCAATAGTAACGTAGTACTAGTTAATGGTTATAGAAATGATTGCAGTTTTAATAATTACACAGTCTTCAAGCAGCTTGCGTTTGGATGTTCTTAATTGTGCTGTGTAATTAAAAGTGATCTGTACACAAAAGCTGTTTCTCAAAGGAAGCTGGATGTACTGAGTGTGCCTTTGGGCTGTATCTACGCAGTCTCACATACAACATGCTGGTGGAACATTTACTGTAACCGTAGGTGCTGTAACTGTTCTTCACAGCTCAGGTGTTTGACCTTCCTTCTGGTGAAGGGAATAAATACTGCTGGTCTCTATTTGTGCTTCCAGGCACCTTGAAGTTGTTAGGAAAAGAATAACTGTCTCCAGTTCTTCTGCACCTTCAGAAAGTTTGCAGGCAGCCCCGTGCTGAGAGGTGTGGTGGATCAAACAGGAGGTAGGGATCTCATCCTGGTGGTATTCAGGGCCGGGTTGGATGAGGCCTGGGCAGTTTGATCTGGTGAGTTGCAGCTTTGCAGCTTGGAGCTTGATGGTCTTTAAGGTCCCTTCCAACTCAAGCCATTCTATGATTCTCTGGAACTGTGCTTGTGCTCCTTATCTCTCAGTTGTCTGACCTGTGTGAGAGGTTGGGGTAGCGGGGTTGGGGTGGGGGTGGGAATTGGGGGTGTGAGGGAGATTCCTGCTGTGGATACTGAAGTTGCTGTGTATTTGCAGCCAATGGCTGCTGCTGGCCTCTGGGTGCCACTGTTTCTCTGAAGAACAGCTGTGCTGATCGTACACCACTGTGCTGTGTGTGCCGTGCAACTGAATAATTAAGAGGGGATAGAGGTGTAACTTGTGCTCTAGTGAAAATCTCATCTGCTGACAGGCTTTTGTACTTGAATGCAGAACCTGTTGCCACAGAGGGACCAGTTGCTGAAGTTTGGTGACTCTGTTTACTCCTTGCAGTATTTAGCCCTGATGCTAACTATTTAAAATAGAAAATCTGAAGTGGTGGCTAACTGTTGACTTGATTGCTGCATATCAGAAGACTATCATGGTGATATTGGCTCTGTGAGATGACTTGGAAGCTGTTTCTTCAGTACAGGTCTTGTTCTTGCAGCTGGGGCACCTTGATGAAGACTGTGCAACAGAACTTGCTGTGTTTCACAACCAGAGCAGAGAGAGTATATCAGCATTAATATCAGAGGTAATAAATGTATGTAACTCGTTGTATTTAAGCTCACTACTGCAGTAAATAACCTTTCTGTATTAACAGACTCTAATGCTTGCTTCTTCTCAAACATGAAATCTTTCATACCTTTCAGAGCTAAGGTACCCCTGCCGAACTCCACAGTCTATCTGTAGCTAATAACTACATTTCTGAAGTTCACATTTATTCTATTTTTCTCCTTTAGTTTTGTTTCCTAAGCCTTTCTGTTATTTTCTACCATGTTAAAATCCTGATGAATCTCTGGAAGTCCAGATAGGCTCAAAACAGAAACTTATGGATGCACAGCAGGTGTCAGGTGCTGGCTGAACTCACTGCTCTGAAATGTTTCATTAAGAAGTGGAAAATATCAACTCCTCGCTCAGAGAACCAAACAAGTTTTGGGAATTACAGCTCACAAACTCTTAAAGAAATGAATCCATTCCAGTAACTTTTGAAAATGAATGAGAAAAGCTAAACTGAGTGCTTGTAGAGACATTGCATCAATGTCACTAATAACATTCCAAGCTGCAGAAGAGATTTAAACCACGATGAGTACTCTGGCTTTAACCTGAATCTGAAAATTGTTTCTTGAAATTGAATTGTCTTTCTGTTAAATAGAAAGTGGTAGAATTTGGAAGGATTGTTAAGATTTCCATATAACTTTAGTAGGAATAGATATAAAATGTAAGTTTTACCTAGGAGAGACACGTCTACTTTTTTTCAGGTACAGAAAATAATGAGAACAATCTAGCTACAAGGGGAAGAAGTTCTTCCATGTTAGTCTGTGATATTTTCACAGTCCTTTATCAGAGGACTTCTAATGCCTTATGAGTAATTCAAGCTGATTGTACTGCACTGTGAGTCTATCAAGCAATTTACCCATGGTTCTCATAGTAGTCAAAAAGCTGCTGAAAATCAAGTTGAATGTTGATGCTCCTTGGAGCTGGGCTGAAACATGACCCCCAAAAATGGGAATCCAGCTGCAATACTGTGCAAAGTGCATTAACAGGAGCTTTGCCATTCACTCCAGTAGAGCCATTCTGGCACCAGCTTTACTTTTCTCTTTCAGCAATTGTCCTGCTCTCAAGCAAACACAAGAGCAGTCTGCTTCTTTATCTTAAACTTGTTGTGTGAGCAGCTAAGGTCTGAAACTAGCCTGATGTGATCAGGTGTGAAGGTTGCACATCAAGGGGAAAATATTCCAGACATGCAGAAACGTTTAGAACGCTAAGCTTTGTTTGTACTGACAGCTTCTCTGAAGAGATCCAAATACTCTTGTTTTCAGGTGGAATTGTGACCAGATGTCACAACCTATCTCTTGCTTCAATCCAGGAAGGTTCGTGGCAAGCGCATCCACTTAAGGATTCCATCACAAACGACGTGCAGTACAACACAGCCAGCAAGCCAGGGGTAAGTGTCAGAGTTCAGCACAACATTCTGGTAAAAACGCTTCTGTGTGCCGAAGCTCTGCCTGGGTAAACAGCCTGGTGGCCTCAACATCTGTAAGAGAGATGCGTGCAGCCAGTCTTGGTCGTCAAATCTTGTTCTATGATAAGGCCACTCACTTTGTGTATGAAAGCAGAGGATGTGATCTTTCTAGATTTCAGGGAGGCCTTTGATCCTGTCCCTCGTGGCATCCTTCCAGACAAGCCATCCAAATGTGAGATGGACAGGTACAGGCTATACTGAGTGGCTCAGTGGCAGAGCTCAAAGAGTCACAGTGAATGGGGCTCCCATTGACTTGGACGAAGGAGAGGCGTGCATCCTCTGCAGCTGATGATATTTAACTGGGAAGTGCTGGAGGCTCCCTGGAGGGATGGGAGACCTTGCAGAAGAATCTAGATAGATCAGAGCGTTAGGCAATCGGCAGAGGAAAATGCCAGACACTGTACCAGCAATGGAATAAGAACAAACATAGAGATGAGGAGACAAGTGTCTGGAGAGCAGTACTAGGACAGGGTCTAGAGGTGGTGGGGACAGCAAGTTTAACCAGAGCCAGTGGTGTGCCCTGGCAGCCAGGAGGAGGGGAACAAAGCTGCTAACAGGACTGGAAGAAAAGGCCAGGAGATGACCTCTTTGCTCTCTGCAGCTCCCTGAAGAGGGGAGAGCAGAGGAAGGTGCTGTGTTTACCTGGGAACCGATGACAGGACGATCAGGAATGGCCCAGAGCTGCATCAGGGGAAGTTCAGACCAGACAATAGGAAACATTTATTTACTGTTAGTGTGGTCAGCTGCTGATACAGGCTTCTTAGGCTGGTGGTTGATTCCCCACCAAAAAAAATCAAAGCCGTACAGAGTTGAAGTTACGCAAAAAACTCGAGGTGATTGCTCTTGAAGAAGGACCTTGCACAGAGAAATGCCCTTTTGCTGCATGTTCCCCGTCGGCCGTGAAGACCGATAGTACTGTTGAGGTTGGAGATCTTCCTGCTCTGGATTGGTTCCTTTCATTGTCTCTTGGTGGATTGTTTTCTCCAATCTTCAGGACTGTGAGATCTGCCAATGCTTGCAGAGTCTCAATTCAGTCTTTCTTACTTCCTTATCTTGCAGTTAGAGTAAGCTCTGTGGCTTTCTTTACTTGCAGCTGGGTGAAAGTCCAGCAGTCTGTTTCCTCAGGGCTTCAGCAGATTTAATTGCATCTTCTAAGCAAGTTCTGTGCAAGATTATTCTATTCAAGTAGCACAACAAATTAGAGAACAAGAATAGCCTTATGAATATAGAATCATAGAGTAGAATCATAGAATGGTATGGATTGGAAGGGACCTTTAAGATTATCTAGTATCTATAGGCAGGGAATACCTCCCCCTAGATCAGGTTGTTCAGAAGTCCTATCCAGCCTGGCTTTGAATGCTTGGAAGGAGGAGGCATTCACAACCTTGCTGGACAACCTGTTGCAGTGTCTCACCATCCCCACTGTAAAAAGTTTCTTCCTAATATGTAGTCTAAATCTACCCTTTTCCAGTTTAAGCCATTTCCCCTTGTCCTGTCACTACCTGGCCTCATAAAAAGTCGCTCCCCAGTTTTCCTGTAGGGCCCTTCTGGTACTGGGAGGCCACTACAAGGTCTGCTTGGAGCCTTCTCTTCTCCACACTGATGAGCTCCAGCTCTCTCAGCCTTTCCCTACAGGTGAGGTGTTTCAGCCCTCTGATCATCTTTGTGGCCCTCCTCTGGACCTGCTGAACAACTCCGTGTCCTTGTGCTGAGGGCTGCAGAACTGGGCGCAGTACTGCAGATGGTGTGTCAGTGAGAGCAGAGCAGAGGGGCAGCATCACCTCCCTTGAACTGCTGGTCACAGAATCACAGAATTGCAAGGTTGGAAACGACCTGCAAGATCATCTAGTGCAACCACCCTCCCATTCCTATTAGTACCACAAGCTACTAAACCATATCTCGTAGCTAATAATAATGTGATTTCTGTGATCACAGTGAGTTAGCCTTTCACACCCAGATCATTAGTCTTTCTGGGTTCAGCAACAGTGAAGTTGCTCTGTCTCCACTTGTGAAATGGGTGCCAGGTAGGTCTGGTTAGTGCTGCTATTGAAAAAATGCATTATGCCCTCACATACGATGATGAAAATCACGTAACACAGCAGCCTATCAGTCCTTCCACAGTAATCAGAACAAACTTCACCTGCCTGCCTGAAGATAAGGCATCTGAATACATGCTCAACCTGCCAAAACACCTGAACAGCAAATGCCTCTAATTAGAACTGGTCTCATGTGAAGACAAGAAAGTGAGAGAATGTAACCTTTCACATAACCTGGCATTGTTCAGCCCGGGGAAGAGATGGCTCAGGAAGATCTTATTGTGAGTGAATACCTGGACTGAGGATGCAAAGAAGGTGCAGCCAGGCTCTTTTCATTGGTGCCCAGTGGCAGGACATGGGCAGAAACTGGACTGCAAGAGATTCTGTCTAAACACCAGGAAAAAATTCTGTGTGTGGGTGACCAAGCACTGCCACACATCGGCCAGAAATGTTGTGGAGTTTCCCTCCTTGGAGATTTTCAAAAGCTGACAGAAATAGTTTGGGGCAGCCAGCTTTAGGTGACCCTGCTTGGGCAAGAACGTAGGACCAGATGAGCTGCAAAGTCCCTGCCAACCCAGTCTGTGATTCTGTGAATTTGATGGCACGAGAGCATGAGTAACACCACCTTATTGGAAACAGTTTTATGTGTAAGGAAACTCCAAAAAAATCATTATGGCCTACATTTCTTCTGAAACACAATAGTCACGATGTCCTGCTCAGGCATTCATATTGTAATGGAACGTGATTTCAGTTACAGAATAGAGATTGCCCATAGCTAGCAGCCCTCTGGAAAGGGCTTTTTAGTAAGTCATCATAGAGCTTCCCTAGATCTGCTGTTCCTGCTTTCACTAGCAATGAGACACGTGATCGTTGTGACATCTATGAACACAGGTCAGGAGACACTTATCTGTCAGCAGAACATAGCTTCCAAAAACGCCTCCTTTCTATCTCAGGACTGATAAGGTAGCTGTATGCAGGATTGGCAACGTGGTATGAAATAAGTCCATGGGAAGGATGTTCCTGAAATCATAATGAGCTGTTAGGAACAAAAGATGTTTTGATACCGCAGTCATGTGTGGTGGGAGATGTGAAGGTTAGCAATCTTGACTGAAATACTGAATTCCATGATTCAGTAAGGACCTTTTGCCTGGGCTTCCTCATAGGCTTCCAAACACTGCTTCAAGCAGTGCTGCAGATGGCACAATCCTATGTTTTGGATATGACTTGTTTACCTTTCTGTGAGCCACTTTCAGACCTCACGGCATTCTTTTCTTCAGTTCTTTCCAGGCTGTTGTTTGACTTTTGTTGAAAAGAGCTTGTGGTCCAAGTCTCCAAATGGAAGGCTCTGAGATGCTGCTCTTGTTGACACAGGTTGTAAAAGATGACTCGAGCTTTAAGAATAATTTCCCTTCTGCTCTTGATATGAATGTCAAATCCACAATTACAATATTAAGAGCATGATGTAACATTGGGGCTGTTGGCATGTGGACTTCCATGAGCTGTTAGCCATAGTTAGGAACTTGCAAAGCAATCATATTTAGATTTTACTGGTGTCATTTTTTGCTGATGAAATCTTCCTTTTAATCCTGCAGAAGAATCTCAACTGAACACTTCTTTTCAGTCTGAAAAGGCTGTGACATCTGAAGATGTGCCAGGTTGCAGCCATGTGCCACATGCGTTTGGATCCATGGGATTTGCTGATGGAACTGCATTGTTTGAAGAATCTCCACTAGAAGAGTTTGTTCTAAATGCTCACAGAACAAAGCAGGTGTCTGAAGATCCAGTGCTGGTTTCTGACAGAAAAAATACAATTCTTAATCCAGAAATCTGCTTCTCAGTGTGTATAATGCTTATTACATATTTAAGTACCTAGTGGACCTTGACCAAAGGGAGATACAGATTGAGCAAAGAAGTATGTTGAGCATAAATTGTGATGCCTTCCACCTGAAAGCCATGGTTCATTTGATGAGAACCTTAACTTCAGTGTTCGGTTTGCACTGAAACAGCGAGTAAGGAAACAAGCGAAGGAGTCAGTGAGGATTTTAAAACAAAATGGGAAGTGATAAGGCACAGTTAATAAGATTTTGGAGTTAGGCAAGAGGTGGACAGAGCTTTAAAGGTACGGACAGAAATTCAGTCTCTCTGTATTGGACAAGAAAACCCACAGTGAAGCAATTCAAATTTTGCAGCTGAAAAAGTGATAATTCATAGCTATGTTTAGATAAGCTGGTGAGGAGTAATCCTAAATGTGGAATTTAGATGAACAGATAGAAAAATGGCACTTGACAATTGTATGGGAACTGCTGAGTCACGGCCTGAACCTCTGATTGATCACCT